CAGGTTCTTTCAGCAGTGTTGTGTTGAGGCCCTTACCAACAAATTCTGGAGTTATGTTCTTATCAGAATGATCAAAGTGACTTTTTCAAGTTGTACCTTTGTAAGCACCATAAAACTCCTCCAACTCTTTCTGAATCCTCAGATCGATACCTAAATACTCTGTAATGTTCCTATTGGATCTTCCAGTGCGAATACCAATTGTATGCAGTTTCCAAATTTCTGGTGGAGTGAATTGTATCCAACTGACCCTATTGTGCAGTCAACAAAATTAAAAACAAACAAAACACATGTACAAAATTAAAATATAAATTGACGACTATTTACCCATCGCATTCTGTATATATGTCTAAAATGTAGAGCAATAGGAGTTGAATTAACAGGTATCAATTTCAATGTAGTTTAAGATGGAAATAATTGAAGAGATATTCTCAATGATTGACTCTTCATAAGGACAAAACTATAAAAAAAAAAATCATAAATTTACTATGTATGCTTATGTATAAGTTGCACAGATTTGAATTATTAATTCATATTTAATCTTTATTTGTTGAGAGGTATTCTTTCCTCTCAAATAAAGCAGCACCAAACTGTCTTTAATATGGCATCATATACACCTGTCAGTTTAATCACCTGAAAATGGAAACTTTTCAGAAACAAAATTATCAACTGCATAAGAATATCATAAATTATTAGATATTTCTTGTATATTTTGATGACCAGTCCATCTAGTTTTATTCCTATTTGTGACACAATCATGGAACTTGTTCTTTGACAGATTTAAGCTTCCCACTTAAGATGAATCTGAAGTACATCAGCTTAATGTAAAACCAAATTTATGAATGACTAAAAAGTTTAGGCAGTGAATTAATTCTAAACAAAAGTGCTACTGTACACTTGTAGTTTTGACTTTTTATCAGCATATTGCTTAATATTTATGCACTTAATAGCTTAATATATAATTTGACTCTTATGATATATATTTAACAATAGATAAATCCTTCTTTGCATGGTATTTCTAAATCCTGAGACATTACTTATTAAACATTGTTTAATGGATACAAATTTGAGTAGACATTCCTCTTTGTGATTTAATGTAGATCTGAATGCATGGACTGGTTCATGTAGATGTATATTGTTTAACAAATGTCTACTTAAACATGTGTAATGAACTCAATCCTGAGTGGATGCTTAAAATTCTTCCAAACCAATAAACTCTCAAAGAACCCAAAAAAAAAAAAAAAAAAAAAACTTGGTTTGTGATTAAGAGCTTTTCAGCACCCCCCTCCTTATAATATTAAGTTTAACTTATACAATTAGGCTTTCTTGTTTTCTTTTTAACAAAATTGTCTAAAATTCTTTAATTTAATTTATACATTTTATTTGACATTTGTGTTACTGACCACAGGATCTGATATATCCAAATAAAATCTTTAATACTGATAATTGATATCTGCAAAATTGTGTTATCTACTCACAAGACAGTTATTACCAAATTTGAGATTTCTGTATTGGCTGCAATAAGTGATTAACATGGAATAGTACGATAAACTGAAATGCTTAAAAATTAGACAATTTGTCTCTTATTTTCCTTAACTGATTTCACTGGATGAAATGGCCAAACGTATTGATGAATTGGAGAAGAATATAGCAACTATAATGACAGATGCTGGCTTGGATGGTAGCGTGGATTAAATGATGCAAGTGTGCGTGTGTGCATGTGTGTGTGTCCTTCCCCCTCAATTTCCTTTTTCCATGTGTTCATTTGTATCAGCCATGGCCAACCTATTCACCTCATGGGCAAAAAAAAAAAAAAAAAAAATTTATCTGCTGTTCTACATCACTGTAGTTTGACTGTATACAAGAGCTTATAATAAAGTTTGAAAGATGTCTTTTCACATTTTCATTCTGTTGTCTGTTCACATTACAGAGTAGAAGTTAATGGAAACCTTTTCAGCTAAATTTGGAAAAGCAATTTATCTTAATTGTATTTACATCTATCAATAAAAACAAATTTTAATGTATTACATTAAAAGTTCATTCAAATGGCTAGCCTTCAGCCCAAACTTCTATTGTGGATACAGTTAGACCTGTTGCTAATAATAATAATAAAAAAAGCATAAAAAAAGATTTATCTTAGAATCATAATATTGATGCAAAAGATGATAGAGCTATATGAATTTTTTTTTTTTTGCTAATAATTCTCAATATCAAGCTTGAAACTATGATCATTATAAATACTTGAGAGTGCAGCAGCTTTTAAATCCTATCATCAGTCATAATGTAAATTTTGTGGGTCAAGCTTCAGAAATACTAATCTACAAAAGAATGTCTGGAGAATTTGTGAAAGCAATGAAGACTTTTTTTTTTTTATTAAATATTTTAACTCAGTAATTCCAAGATTATCGATATCCAGTGATTTATAAAAATCATACTTTTAAGCAAAAAAAAAAAAAGCTAAGCATTTTATTTTGTCAAATAAAGAGAGCTGGGAAAGTTTTGATTCTTTAATTCTTTAGCCATTTATTTATTTTTTAAATATATTTTGAAAAAAAAAAAAAATTACAACTATTTTGTAACTCAGTTTGTTTAATTTATATGACAAAATGTAGTGAGCTAATGAATTAAAAAAATATTTTTGAGAATGATATTTCAGGGTCGACCAATGAACACAAACCAGATTGACTGCTTTCAGAAAAAACAATTTTAGTGTAAATATATATATATATATATATATATATATATATATCTCAAGCTTGCCTAAACTAAGAACTATTCAAGTTAATTAGTTAATACTGTTTGCTGAGATAGAGGATATACTTTTACAGATAAGTGATTGACCATTTAATTAGGAAGCAAAGGGTATATTCAACTTCTCCATGGTATCTTATCCTGTATTTATTGACCATCTTCTATTTGTTTCTGTTGTTATATTGTCTTTACCAAGAAAAAAAAAAGACAAAATTTCTTCTGGTGTTTACTGCAAATAAAATATATCCATGAAATGATCCACTTTAATAAATGAAAAGATGGAGAATTTCTTTTTTTTTTTTTTCATAAATTCTTAAAATTTATTTTCTTTTCTCTTGTTCCTAACAAGAGAAAAACTTAAGAGTCAAAGAGCCAAGTGTTAAAGTCACTTTTCTGCCATGTTGATTAGATGCAGAAAATTTCTTGCTGGAAATTTATGAATACACTTGGTCCAAAATTGGAGATTACTAAAATGTGAGAGTGTAGAGTGTATGCTTGTGTACAAGTGTGCGTACAAAGGCCTGAGTCAGTCATAAAAAAAAAAAAAAAAAAAAAAATTTAAACCGGGGCAGTTAAACAAATGAGATAACTGGTATTATTTCACATGAAAGAAAGAAATAAAACTGATAAATAAATGAAAGACAATGTGGCCAATGTTATGTACAAAAATGAATAGAATCCAAGACATAATTTAAGAAAGGAACTGGAGGCAATCCTTCACACATTCCATTGGCCAATTTACACCCCTATTCCATCTAGTTGGGCCAACTACAAGTGGGAGACATCCCATTTCTTTTAATTTTGTCAGCTAAAAAAACTAAAAAAAAAAAAAAAAAAAGTTGTAATGAAATCTTGAAAGATGTAAGAAACAGAGCAAATTGTTCCCAGAAATGTGACTGGCAGCAGATCACAAACTTTAAACATAAAAAAAAAGAAAAAAAAGAAAAGAAAATGTACAAAAGAGGCGAGAGTGGAAATTCCCATCATTATTAGATAAAAAGGAGAGACATTTGGTTATGATTCAACAATTGGTGAAAGTTAAAATTTCTTTTTCATATGAAAAAAAAAAAATTGCCTTTCAGCTTGTTAATATTATATAGTCTATATAGCAGAATGATGGGAACCAGTTCAAAAAAGATAAAATAAATCGGACAAAGAAAAACAAAATATAAGAGTTGTTATCTACACTGTAGAATTTAAATTTAGCTATTCCCATAATTAATTCTAAGATATATATATATATATATATATATATATAAAATAAATAAAGGAAAACTGTAAGGCTCAATTGCTGTAGGTACATCAGCAAAAAAAATTCATAACTTTTTTCTTTTTTTTTTTATAATCACATTGTGTGTGCATCAGCACCCCCCAACACTCACACACACAAAAAGGAAAAATTTTGGTATGGAGAGAGAAAATTGGTATTGATATGACATTCAGTTTTAGTTCAAAAATTCCTTTCATTGCATATAGGATGATTTAAAGCTGACAGTACCTACTAAGCTCATATAAAGGGAAGAGGAAAGGAAAACAAAAAAACTTAATATTTATCTTAGAATTAATATAAAAGTCAGGAAAGCAACAGAATCTGCCATCATAAATACAAACCAATTCTAAAGAATGCTAAGATTTGTGATTGAAGCTGTAAGTCAAGTCCCTGCCTCTCGTAAACAGACACAGGTGTAAAAAGGGAAGGAAGGATCAGAGATAGGAGATATCACTGATGGCATAATTAGTCTTGCCATTGGCTGGACGGAAGTCATCATGGTCAGTTTCTAATGCTGACCCTTACTGACCAACAACAACAAAAATATAAATATTTATATAGAAAATAACAATACTCGTGCTTATGAGAATGGGATAAGAGAAAAGATACGAAAAATTTAGACAAAAATTACTCAATGTGTAGCAAACTTTGATGACAGTGGTTGGGCGTTTTTTTGTATTGTAGGAGAATTGTTAGTATTGAGTGTATCACAGAGACAAAAACGTTGGTCGGTGGATGACATAGTGGCCAGCCAAGGAGTAAGGTTTGCCATTCTCAGAAATGTCTGATGCTGACTAGAGGATACAGAAAAGAAGAACAAGGAGATAAGAAAAACAGTTAAGTCTTTTAGGTGACCTCGCAACAAAAGACTGACAGATACACACACAAGCACACATGCACAGATAATTAATGCACACAGACACACTTGCTCACACAAAATGTCCTTGTCAGGTTTGCCATTGTGAGTTCTGTAGGACATTGCTCAGCTGTGAAACCAAGCTTCCCAACTAGCCGAGACATCTAAAGTTGAATAGAGGTAGCCAGCAAGGATGGCACTTAGCGCGACCACAGTAACTTTCAAAGCCAACTTCCTATTTTGTCTTCTGATGACCAAAGCTTCTCGTGCTTTCTTCTCGGCGGCAAACTTGAGGGCTCTGGAAGACAAACAAACAATGCATGAGTAAAGCCTTTCTGACTGAATAAAATGTCTGTAGGGGGGACTAATCAGGGAGAAGGGGTAGGTGCTGGATGTTGCAGGACAGACGGGACAAGAGAATCCAACGTACGCTTGTGTGGCATCCCGGACAGCCGCGGCGGTGGCTGCAGCACTGTCAGAGATCAGTTCCGTTGGGGGATATTGCAGAAAAAGATCCCCAGCTTTGCTAATCAACTGCTCAAATGGGAGGTCATCAGGGATACGAGACAGAAGTTGATGGACATTAGCCATCTCACACTGGCAGGAAAGAATCTCCTTTTCTCGGTGAAGGACAATCTGAAATTAGGAAAAATAATATAATATAATATGTATATATATATACATTACATCACTTAGATATTTATTTTCTAAGTGAAACTGCTTGTGCAGATTAGTTTTGGAGTTAATTATTATTGGTATTAGTGTTTTTTTTTATATCATTCTTCTTAATAAGCTTGTGGTGACAAATAAAAACCCATCACTGAAGACAACTTTAAAGTTATACCAATAAGTATCTATATCTATAATTCTCAAAATGCGTGTGTGTGAGAGATCAGATGTTTATGCATTGCCACAGTTTTCATCCAATTTCGATTAAATGTTTTTTGTTTGGTATATAATTCTTCAGTGCCAGTTTTGAGTTCAAATTGGCTGGAAAAAAATTTGAAAAGATTTTTTTTACACTTTGCGCAAAAATCAAAAGGCAAAATTTAATGTCTAAAAGACAGCATACAATCAATTTAGAGAGTTGAAATCTAATGCAAAAGATTATTAGAATTATAAAAAAAATTATGTTATAAATAAAAATTATCATATATTATTATTATGGCAGTCCATGGAAGAGGTCCTTCCTTGCAATATTGAGAACACAAAAATGGCCCTTTTCAGGGTCACCTTCAATTCAAATTGTTACCCCTCCCCCACTTGGGGATGTGTCTCACTTGCACCCAATTGTTGTTACTAATATTGATTTTCGGGTGGGCTGTCTTTAAACATGAACTGCTCCAATTGAACAGCAAAATTTTCCAATAATGAAACACCCAGTCGAAGACAGGTCATACTGCTAGTCATTTATAGATTTAAACCACTGTTGTAATAAAAAAAAGTAATACATTTTTTGTTTAAAAAAAAAAAAAAAAATAATGAATGATTTTCTTTTAGGTATGCAATAAATTGAATGAATTTCATATCAGAATTGAGCCTTAAATGTCATTGTTTTCATTTCAATAATCCATTAGATGGTACACAAAAGTTTTTTTACCTGATTTTCATTGATATAAAAGGTACATAATTTGACACTGGCGTTTGTTTTGGTGTCAATTTTGTTTAGTTGCGAGTCAGACTGTTGCATGTTAACATTTTGCCCACAAATGAATGCCTTAAACATGGAGAATGAAATGTTGCATTTTCAACATATTATACTCTATGAATTTTGGAAATGAGTAGATGTCAGAACTGCACCAAAAACCTTCAGAAGTCTTATTTAGATAGTGCTCTAGCTCTTTGGAATGATCAAAAATTGTTTTGGCAGATTTCATCAGAGTAAATTTAACCTAAATAATCAACCATGCTCTGGGTGACCTTTGGACGTTGAAGATACTCTGCTTGCCATCATAGAGAATAAACCAAAGATTTCAACAGAAGTGATTGCCAAGAGTTTGAAAAATTAACATCTCAACTGCCTTTCACCATTTGAAGATTTGTTGGTTATTTTTGTTTATTGGCATAACAACCTCTATGGGTTATTTAGTACCAAAGTCTAAATATTTTGTAGCCAATTTTATTTTTAGAGATAATGGTTTAGTGATACAAATTTTACTAATTAATTAGGTGTCAGAAAAGAGGTAGATGTATACCTTTCCCAAGGGTATTTTGAATTTAAGGGAATATACCGAAACCAACTGGAATTGGAACTCTGCTTTCTAATTAACAATTCCGAGCCATTATTCATTACACCTCCCACAAATCCAAGCTTACAGTACATGGTATTCCCAAGTGATCACCCATCTAGATACTGACCAGGTTCGGTAATCATATGGGAACTGGTGTTTCAATGTGATGTGGTTGTAAGCCCCCCCCCCCATTTGAAGAGACTTGGGTTCAAGAAAAATGTCCAATTTTGTGTCATTTTCCACCTGACAACACAAGATTGCATGTTGCAAAACTGACCTTGCAGAACTTGAGATGGGAAAACCCCAGTGTCCACTGTATTCTCCTAATTTGGCTACTTCAGATTTTTATTAGTTCCGGTCTCTACAGAACAATTTAAATAAGAAATTCGATTCTGTACACTCAGTTGAAAACTACCTCACAACCTTCAAACTTCTAACAAAAAAAAAAAAAAAAAAAAAAAAAAAAAAAAGTTTCTATGAAAATGATATCAAGAAGCTAGTAAAACAATGGGAAGCAATTGTTGAAAAAAAAAAAAAAAAAAAAAGGGGATTGTTTACTTGACTAATAAATGTTTTTAGTGAGTATGTAAAATTTTGTTTTTAATTGGGCATAAACTTTTGCAATGATCTAATATTAAGTATTGTAGAATTTAGTGATTTTAGTTACATTAAGGTTGACTGTAACAGGAGAATTAAGAGAAAAAAGTTATCGAAAAGGTGTTGTGTAAAAATTCCAATTAATTTTGAATTGTTATTTCAATGTCTGCATATCTTGGTCTAATTCAATTGATGTGTCTTGTAAATAAATGACCCAACTTTGATGTACAAGTCACTTTTACAAGATAATTCTCAACATTTCCAACTAATAATTTTCCTTATCCTACTGAAACTAAGTTTCACTTTTGTATTTGAGAATTTTCCTTTCTCTGACCCTTAACACCTATAGGACATGCATACAATTTTTGACAGGATGGTAAATATGAGGAAAGCCACAGAAGTTTTCTCTAAGCCTACCAAAGACAGTAAATAGACATTAGCAAATAATGATTTTTATTTATCTATATCTTCCTGGTATCAGTTTAAGCAAACAACCTCTTTTTTTCATCTTATATTGTGGCCATTTTGTTTAAAGCTCATGCATTTGTAATTTCAAATGAAAATATGGAAATTGACTTTCCAAAATTATACAAAGTGATTGAAAAGTAATTCCCTATTTTATGTATGAGTGGCCAGCCAGGAGACCTGACTTAACATCCTATGACTTTTTTCTTTGGGGTTTGTTAAAGGAGCAAGTCTTTGGGAGAACTTGAAGGGTGAATACAATAGTTGTTTTCCATGTCACAAGAGTAACTGGTGGAATCAGTTGATGTGATTACTAAGCAGCTCAAGAAGCTGGTAGTGAAGTCTGGTGCCCATATCGAATTTGAAATAAAACTTCATGCTAAATGCTCTCCTCTCATATCCATTTCTTGAAAAATATTATAGTTCATAATTATAAGTGTTTTAAAATGGGGGAGATACTTTTCCATCACCCTGTAGTTTAATTTTTGGCATTAAAAAAAAAGAAAAAAAAAAAAAGACATTCAATAAAATAAGAGGAAACATGAAATAGTCAGAGATATAGTCTTAAAAATAACAACTTGAAAAAATATTTTTTTGTGTATTTTTTGAAACAAAAACTTGAAAAAATATTTTTTTGTGTATTTTTTGAGTTGCTTTATTTGGTAACTAAATATTATAAATGTTTAAAGCTTGAGATGATTGTCACTTACACAAGTGCTGTAAACTGTGTGATCATTTCAGACTTAATGGGGGATTAGGTTAAATTGCCTTATTTTCATTTAAGGACTTAGGTGAACAAAATCAGGATAATATAAAAAAAGTATTCCTTGGGATCCTAAAATTCATTTGAAGTCAGTGACCGAGAAATGTCAAATGTTTAAAGAATAATGCAGTTATTCAGGAGAACAATAGGGATGAATGAAAAAAGAAAGCAAAATGCAAATATCCAGTCACATAAAATAATATCCTGCCAAAAAAATTGTATGTGTAAAGATATATAGATATTGTGTAAAGGATCAGAGAAAGAAAAATTCTCAAATGCAAAAGTTGGGAATTATCTTGGAAAAGTAACTTGTACATCACGGTTGGGTCATTTATTTACAAAAGGCACATCAATTTAATTAGATCAAAATATACATTTATTGAAATAACAATTCAAAATTAACTACCTCAAATTATTCGCATGTTTTTTTTAAATAGCAAAGTAAATCAATGATTTTTCAGGTGAACACAGAAAGGCATATTTACTAAAAGGAAAAGTAATGGATTGCCAGTTCACATCATTTACATTTTATTCCCCAGAGACAATATATAAAGAAAAATAGCAGCTAACGATGCATAAATAAGCGGCAACATTATTGTTTACTTTTATTCTTGGTTGAATCAGCACAATACAATGATAGTTAAATATTGTTTACTACTGGAATGTGCAGTGTTGTATGATCAACAATGGTGGAGTTAACTGGTCAACATGGTATGATGACCTAAAACTATTAATGAACCAAGTATTAACATCACTGATGAAAACAACCCAGTGCATCTTTGTGATATATTGATATTCCTACTACACTAAAATGGAAAAGATTGTGCCTTTTTGCAAATGCTGAAAAAAAAAAAAAAAAAAAAAAAAAATATATATATATATACAACTTAATCTAAACATTCAACAACACTTTAATAAAAAAATGTTTTAATGTTTTTAAATTCCATTGTTTTTCCAGTAGTAATTTCAGTGTGTGTGTGTATATATATATATATATATATATATATATAAATAAAAATAAAGGATACTGTAAAATATATATTTTTAAGGATAACTGGAAATACTACTTACTGCAGCTGCCAAATAAATTGGCATAAGCGGGTGGCAGGCAATGAAAAAGTCATATAATCTGACAATGTGACGATATTCATTGAGAACATGTCCATACCATGTGATCAACCAGCTGAGACAGAACATGGTTCCTACTTCAGACCTGTAACAAACACAAATATCACATTATAGTGAACTATACAAGGAAGAACAATGACAAATAACCATTAAAGAAAAAAAAACTTCCTACTTCTTAAGATTCTATATATTTTCATTTATTTTGTTATTTGAGATAATACAGAACTGATATGATTTTCTGATTTCTACAATATCCTCTTCAGAAAATAATTGTTTTATTTTTTTCAATTATAAACCAATTTTTTTGAATAATAAATTTTTCATGAAGTTTCTTTTAGACAAATAGTAAATAAAAATTCTATAAAACAAGCGTTCTTCTTTCAGGTGACATAATTCCTTCATAATGTAAGTGATCCACAACTTCCTGTCTTTTGAATGTTTACCATCCATTACTCACTCCTTCTCCATGTTTCTCTTACCTTCAAAAATCCTTAAGTGTTAAATTCTCCAAACCCTCAATCCTCATTATGTGTCTCAGAAATTTGAACTATTTCTTTCTGATTGTAAGTTTCATTGTAATTCCTATTTTCCTTAAGATTTCCTCATTGTTAACATGTTCTGTCTCTTATTCTTAACATCCTTCTGTAGAACTACATCTGTTACTTCATCACTTCTTTGTATGAAGATATTATTTTTTTTCTTTGCTCTAACAATATTATCCTATCTCTTAATACTTTGCTTAGTTTTTGGAAGACTTCTTACACTATTCATATGCACTTTCAGATTTCTGTGTCATATCTCTGTTACTGCACTGCTTAGATAGTTAAATTTCTGTACCTGCTTGATTTCACTGTCCCCAATACACAGCTCACATCATATGCCAACCATATATTCAGTCTCATAGTTAATAGTCCTTTCTTCTCACTAATGAAAGCAATATATCAAGTATGGTAATTAATGTCAACATTAACTAATCACAAAATGGGAAGAACCATTCAGCTTACCAATATACTAAATCTGAGTACACAAATTCTTGCACAGTCATTTTCACAAGTTCAAACTTTAGTTTGTAAAATGGAGTTAACAAAACTGATACAAAAGCAATTAAATCTGTATCTGTCTTTTGTAGGAAAACTATTCAGACTAGAGTTGGTCAAGGCCATTATATTATAGACAATAGAAAATCATTTTTCTCTCTCAGATATTTTATATTTTAAAACTTTACAAATGAAAAAAAAACTATTTGTACAGCAATCATGCCCTAATTGGATAATGCAGAAAGAGAGAATTTATACCGTTGGAGAAATTTCTCTAATTCTGGATTAGCTTTGGCAACAATTGGATTTAAGTAATTCATCACCACTTTCGTCCTTTCCATTGTGGCATCCATGTATGCTCTGAAAATAGGTAAGAGAAGTATATGACATGAAATTTTCTTTAATAGATATCACAAAAATAAGTGATTTTAACTGCTGAGAAATTGAATCATAAGAGATAATAAAAAAAAAAAAAAAAAATAAAACAATTATGAAAAGAAAATTTAGGGTCAAACATTTCAATTATTCTTAGCAGTTTTAAGAGATCAAATATTTTATGAGGAAAATATAATGCAATACCAAATTCCTTCATAGCAATTGTAAAGTTAATAAAGTGTAAGTCATTAGAATAGGTTAGCTTTGTGATAGCATTTTAGGTAATTATTTTGTATTGTTACAATAAGACAGAAAATAATAACAGTGCATTTATTAGTAAGACTGATGATTCCTTTTAATATACAACAATATTATTAAGTTTCAGAGATATATATATATATATATATATATATATATATATGACATTTTATTTAGTTACCCACTTAAAGCCTGTTTCATGCGTAGCAATTTTTCAAAAATGGGAGCTTGTTATGGATGCTCCTGAAATCTATCAAAGATTTTTAAAAGAAACATAAAAAAGGATACAAATAGGTAACTAAATGTTATTTTTTCATGTGTATTAAACATTTTGCACTCTTATAGACATAAGAAAAAGAATATATTTTTAACGCTTTAAATTTTATTTTTAGTAGATACCCATATTTGAGTAGATATCCTATTTATTTTAAACAGTATATTTATTTATTTATTTTTTTTTTTTTAAATAAGATCTAGTAAACAAAAAATAAATACAATGTTTAAAATAAACGGGGCATCTACTCAAATATGGGACTCCACTAAAAATAAGCTATATAATGTGATAAAAATCTGTCAGATTAATAAAAAAATCTATTAGTTATTTAGAAATATATCTGGCAAACATCAGTTCTCACCATTAAACTTTCTAAAAGAGTAAAAATGCTTTTAATGTTACCTTAAATGTGTAGTAGACAGTTTATCCACTAAGGCAAATGCAATGTCTTCACCAACAGCAAGAAGAAATGTGACACAAATATCATGATAACCCTGAAACAATAAACATGTTAGCAAATAGATTTATAGTAAAATAACAACTCAAAAAGATTATCATTTACATACAGAAATAAGTTTATATAAAATAAAATCTAAACACATTAACTCAGAAATATAAAAAAGAAAACTGTGGGAAATCTTTGTGTATTTTAGTGCCTTGTCTTTTAGTACTTAACAGCATGCTGATTTAACATTTGTTGATAGAAGACATTTTTTTTTTTTTTTAATAGAAGTGATAAATTTTTATTATAGACAAATACTGAAGACAACCAAAAATAACTTGGAAATATATATTTGTACACCGGATAGAAATTTTAGAGGTGTGTGCTAAGACTTGTAGTTAAAAGGTGTTTAAGAAATATTTATTTTATATAGGTGTTTCATAATATTATGGCCTAAACACAATTAGTCTAATGTTATTGATGTTACTCATTTGAAAAATATTTCTGCAGCATATTCTCATACATGGCAAGACCAAATATATGCGTGTGCACACAGTGTTACAGCATAATTGCCCATCCCACAAAATGTTTAATATCTAAAAAAAAAAAAAAAAAAAAAAAAAAAAAAAAAAAAAAATGTTTCTTTTTTCCAGATTTTCAAATAAAAGATTTAGACATCTCGACACCATTTGTCATAATAATCACTGAAAAAACCTTTGAGCTATTCAGCTAGAAAGAGAACAGGTTAAAATCATTTTGTGTCAGACCTGCCATCTTCCCAAATGAGCAAGAACTATCAAGAGAACAGTGAATAAGTTTAAAAAAAGAGGGAAGAGTAGAGGGAAAACTGGATCAGGAAGTCACAACAGGAAGAGGGATCATCATTTCAACTTAGAGCTAAAGAGATCAATTAGAAAAGATCCAACTCAATCCATAAGGTGTTTGGCACGTGAGGGAGGAATTTCAGCTATGACAGTCCGAAGAGCAGCAAAAAAAAAAAAAAAAAAAAAAAAAAAAAAGAACAACAACGAAAATGAAAACATATGTGAAGCATGTGAGGCAGCTTGTTACTCCAGGACAAAGCTTAAAGAGGGTGAAGAGCATTTTGAATAAGTTCAAAGATGATCCTGGAATAATATATATATTTCAATCCTTCATGAGTTTCCGATCCTTAGCTATGATCAATTAATGATGAACATGCCATTTTCATTTATGATCATGATTCTTCTGTTAAGATTGGAGAGTAATTATACATTCTTATTGCTCAAAGTAGAGTCCAGTAGTGTTATAAAAACCTTGGAGAATTGCAGCAACATATCTTTAATTATTTCTAAGATACAACAGTTCAAAATTTAATCTAACAAATGAACAATTTCCAGTATTTTAAAATGAATTTAAGCTGATTGGAACAAGTTAAAAAAAAAAAAAAAAAAAGTCACTGAATTTAGTCATTTTACAATTTTGAAACTTTATTTAAGAAAACTAGCTGATTTAAAGTTTAATCAATCTGATTTGAAACATTTAGTTTAAAATATCACACAAAAGCATTTTTTCATCACGGAGATGGGTGTTTTTATGACAAGTTGACAGTTCTATTGACAGCCCGAGTTTTGGTAAATTTAATTTTTCTACAGGGGGCATATCCATAAAAACTACTAGAATTTAATGTGAGCACCTTTTTTATATAATTTTTTACCCAGTATTCTTGAAAATTTAGGAAAATATTTTAAGTAATCTAATGATTTAGGTACATATAGTTATGGCTCTTATTTTCTGATAATGTTCATATTTACCAAAATCAACACATTTATACATACACAAAATTATGGGGATCACTAAATTGTAGTAAGCTTTTCCATTTATGATTAGTAATACAGAATTTTAAGATTTAAATCTTTATAAATTTTTCTAATTAAAATTTAAATAAAAAAAACAAAAAACAAAACAATTCTTGTAAAAATTCATTCATTGATAAAGTTTTTTTTTCTTAAGACAATTGTGTCCATAATATATCTTACTCATAAGAGTAATTAAAAGCTTTTCTAATTAGATATGTTCTTAGTTTTATTGCATTTTTTATTTTATGATTCAGAGCAGATTTTCAGTAATTGTGTGTGTGTGTGTGTGTGTGTGTGTGTGTGTGTGTGGGGGGGGTCCTGTTTAACAAAGAAACAAAAAAAAAATGTTTTAAATTTCCCAAAGACTTGTGCTTATGACTTATATAAACATTAAGCTGTACAAAAATAAAGTGTGTGTGAGTGGTGGGGTTAACAAATGTGGAAAAAAAAAAAAAAAAAAAAAAAACAAAAAAAAAAAAAAAAAAAAAACATGATTTTTTTAAAAAAAGAAACATTTCTAAAATAATTATAAAGTTTCATGAGAATCCAACAATTTGATTTTTGCAAGAATTTCCAAATCAATGTGTTTTTCATTGCAAAAAGATGCTAATAGTATTTGATTAGCCACCCAATTAATTTGAGCAGTCAGTTTACAGAGTAGAGTGCTTTCTTTTTTGTTCAAATTAGGTTTTGTTGATGAATGCAATGTATTAATTGGAATATAGTTTATGTCATCAACATCAAAATTTTTGATCAAGGACAATGTTGAATTCTGAAGCCTGTTTATGTGAATATAGTGTCATTTAGCCAATTTTGAAAATTATTCGAAGTTTTTCTATCACCTTCCCAAGTAATTTTGTTCTGGCCCACACACTGTCATCAATACAGGTAATTATTTACAATTTTTTTTTTTTTTTTTACTTGTCTCATTCAGTAAGTTTAACTGTAGAAACAGCTGGCTTACATTTTCTAGAAATTAAAGCAATAAAAACAGATATAATTAAAAGGAAAGAAAACAAAACTTCTACAATAGTTGAGATTTTTCTCATCTTTTTTAATTATGTCAGTTTGTCTTAATTAAATTTTATATCTCTAATAACATCTTTTTTTGAGAAGTATTTTTGTTAATGTACTAACTACCACTGATCTGCATTTTAAGGTAGATAGCTTTAATGATAGATCTGTGAAATTTCTCAAGATAATGATCTCAAGCACCAGTTCAGTAGAATCTCCAAAATTTCAGTGATTTTATAGCAGTTTTTCAACAGGAATGGAATAAAATTGAGGCTAACTTCTGCAAGAAGATGGCTTCAAATTATGCTAAATGTCAGACAGTCATCAGCCATCTATTATTATCATTAAATACTGAATGTTATTCATTTATATGGATTCAAATCTTTTGCATATTACTTGTTATTGCTGTATCTGTCAAATTTATATGTAGTCAAACATGGGATATCCTAAGTATTTACTATATTCAGCTCGAGTTTTAGGTTAGTAGATAATAAATCCTATACGTCCAATAGTTTTGCATATCACTGTGTGCACACGTTTTACACATAAAAAAAAAAATTCCATTTAAAGGGAAGCAACTCCTGGTTCCCTAGACGTTTACTATCGGACTTACCTGATAGTAATGTAGCTCTGGATGTCTGACTAGAACACGCAAAATGAGATCTATTAGTTTGTCCTGCAGAGCTAATCGTTTGTCATCTTCCATTCCTGTACAAAAGACAGTAAAATTACATTTAATTAGTATTAAGTAAAAAGAATATGAAGTTAAAAATCATTTTAAAATGTAGAGTGGCTAAAAGAAAAATTTCCCTTTGATACAAGCATTTAATTAAAAGAAATATTTAATAAAAAAAAGTTTAAAATATGAAGACAGTTACAAGTTTCCATGTGTTCTAACAGTTCAAGGCAAAATCTTTTCCTAACCTTTGATGTGTGAATGACCAAAATTAAAGTCTATTAGTTATTTCCTTTTCTTTTGTACAGAAGAAAGACTTCAATCCTATTTTTACTCAACCTTTTGCTTTGACATAAAGAATTTAAGAAAAAGAAAAGAGAGATATAAGAATTTTCTTTAAATAAATGCTTGGATTTTTCTACATGTAAATATTACAAAAAAAATCCCTTGTAAACTGAAGTTTAAGGTTATCAAATGTGAAAAATATAAAATAAATATACCTAATGGGATTATCATCATGTATTTTAGTAACCTTTCTAAGTATTAATGCCAAGGAATTTTTAAAAAATTAAATTAACCTACATATTTAGATGTCCGAATATATATTTTACTCCTTTTGAAATGGCCATATTAATTTCAACCAAATATAGAGGTGATCTTTTCTTTGGACTTTCTTTAAAGATATTTTCATAGTGCTATCAATTATACACACACACGCACATATCACATAACCATTTTTTTTTATATGAAAAATGTGCGTGTGAGTATATGTGCATTTACATTTATTTGAAGAGAAGTCTTGTTTAATTTCAATCAAATTACATTATCTATCATTCAAATTACTTTAAAAAATTTAAGTGCTTGGATGATCTGGGAACAAAAAGAAAATCTTTAAACAAATTGATTAAAACAAAGAATTGAGGTACAAAGAATGTAAGGAATCTACAAAGGTAAGTCAAAAATTATCCACACTTTTGCCATAACATTTAGGTTTGTCAAACTACCTTCTGCTCATATGTTGTTATATTTGGTACTATTGTGGTCACATGATCAAAGTTTGAGCTTGATCATGCCATTTCTCTTGCTGCTGTTACAGTGTAAACATGGCTGCTTCACTAGCAGTGTTCACTAAAGAGAAACAAAGAGTAGTGATCTGAATCTGCAGAGAACATGCTACCTCATCGATGATAACTCACCAGTTTGCCATTAACATCTTTTGAGCTTGCTGAATCTTTTTCATCAGTTGTGGAAATTGATGGACATCCTGCTCCTCCTTTTTTGTGTCATGCTTGTCCAGCCACTTTTAGCCTTCTTGAGCCCCCCTCATACACTTTTTTACAATGCTGCTGCATAGTGTTAAAAGACACTGATGAATTTCAGCTCCTGATACACTTTCCAACCAGAAAAATCAGATCACTGCTCTTTGTTCCTCTTTGGTGCACACTGCTAGCAGAGCAGCCATGTTTATACTGTAACAGCAGCAAATTTTCTATGAAACTGACTCTCATTGATCTGAAAACCAACAGAAAACATTCAATATTCTCCAGGATTGCTTAGTAGGTAGAGCATTGGATTTGGAAGAAAAAGGTGGGGGGGGGGACTATATAATTATAAATAAAGATACAGTTTCAAAAATCATTCCTTAAAATAAAAATAAGAAAAGTAAATGAATTCATACCCAAACAAAAGCACATATTTAAGTGGTTGTTGATCTTGAATTTGTAAAATATTTCAGTTTCATATTAACCATAAAGCATTTAATGTGTATGGCACAAAATCATTAGATAAAGCCAACTTTAGTGCAAGGTCAATAACACATCTAGTGAAGCATAAATTGAGATTGTAGTATAACCTGAATATCACTGTAGTAATAAGCAAAGAACGAGATGGTAACAAATCAGTATTTATGTATTCTCTAAAATCTATTTTATCTCTTTAGATGAAATGTCATCCTTTTTCTGCAATTAACTTGTTATATCCCAGGACATAACTCTTACATCTGGAATAATTCAGCTCTACTATACCAGTTTATGTTAAAAAAAAACAAAAAAAAACAAAAAACAAAAAACAAAAAAAAAATGATTAGGAGATAAATACCTGTATTACAAAGCATTTTGGGTTTATTTGAGTGTTTCAGAAAGCACATAAAAAATAAGAACTAATTAAACTGATAGTTACAAACAAAAATTGCTGAGATCATTTTTAGTTAATTGTAATCTAAAAAGAAAAAAGCACCAATGTTAAACTGGGCCAACACTTATCCATATTAAATAAAGGCAAATGTCAAGACAGTTTTTTTCTGTTTTGATAAGTTTCTGTGTAAAATTTCATAAATATTGTTTAGAAGTTTCAGTTGGTTTTAAGTTTAAAATAATTCTTTTATAAAAGTCTACAAATTTCTTAAAGTAAGCATTGTCAACCATTATTAATTTTTTAATAGATTTTCTTTCATCTTATTTTGATTACTTTTTATTACAACTCAAAGATTGTTATTTTACACTTGCCAAATAACCAGCATCAATTGGAAATAAGAAGCCTCTGAAAAGATTTGAACTTGATTTCCCTTAATCTTGGAAGCCTGTCTTTCCATGACAGTATCTTTACGGGTATGGCTATAAAGACTTCATTGGTAGATGTTACTCAAATAAGTGATAAAGCTATATTTTGAATACATTTTTTCTTAGATGAGGAAGAAGAGAACTAAGATAATATTATCTGAGGAAGATTTATTATTAAAAGTATACCTGGTGGAAACCGCTTGAGAGATCTCTCTACATCCAAGACTACCTGTGTATAGTCACGATGTTCCTTCAACAGCTGAGCATCTGAAATAATAATAAAGTATAAATCATTTGGAATTGCTGTAGTGAGCCCTGATAAAAATCTAATAATATATAGTATTTAAGAGATCATTTGCTAATGATATTTTCTGTCCTTCTTAAGGCCTAGAAAAACACAGTAGATTGATGCTGACCTATTTCTAAGATGGCTACTACTATCAAATTCTAACTTCTCAACTGTCAAAACTACTCACTACTGAGCCAAAATAGACTTTTTCTGGGCTGCTACTAAGATCTATTTTATACATGAACATTTAACCCAAATATCAAAAGACTCTCTAATTTAAATCAAATATATATATATAATATATATATATATATATATATATATATATATATATATATATATATATATATATATTTATTTATCTTACACCCTTGAGTCAGTTCATTTTATTTCCAAAGTTCCAATAAAATAATTACCAAGAATATCCTGGCAAATCTCCACAGTGCAAATGAATTCAAATACAGGTTAACTATTTGGAATTATTATTGAAATACATTCTTAATCTACATTTGCATTAAAAATAGAATTGTATAAATAGTTTGAGCTTAATCACTGCACACAAAGTAATGAAATGATGGAGAATAACAGTGTAAATAAAAGTAAGGCTCAAAACTAAAGAAAAAAATAAATATTATAAACTATTAATTTTTAAATTATTCCCTTTACAAACGGAGAAAAAGAAAGTTTCCATTCTATAGATTAGAACCACAACCTTTTAAGATGTGAAATCCACTTAGGTGCGGGTGATGAGCTGAAATTAAGTTTAATATTGAAGATATATTATTTTATCAAAAAGAAACAAAAACAAGAAACAAATTAGGCATGTTGGAGTAATGGATAGTGGCTCAGATTGAGGAATCAGAGAGCAGAGTTCAAATCCCAGTTGAATCCATTATATTCACTTATGTGCTAATACCCTTGGGAAAGGCATGAATTCTCTTCTCCCCTCAGCTATGGGTAAATAGTAGGACAGACTGGGTTCTATAGCCTTGGATGGCAACTGTTCTACCTCAGAAAGAAATGGCAACCTACTGCAGGAAAAAAATTTGCCTTGTCAGTCATGTATTGAAAGATACATGCTCACCTAAGCATGTATCATGTATGGCACATAACTGAATAGCTAGTTATATAGTGGTAGAAGGAAGGAGTTTTGGTTACTTTGTTGTTCTTATATATATATTGGTAACCAAAACTCCTTCAGGTTACCTTACATTGATTTATCGTAAACCAACTTTTACTGGTTTATATATATTCAGTGGGATGCATTTTGTCACAAGCGAAAAATCAATTGGGACCTTAACACAGAACCCTAATGATTTGCCGAAAATTAAAATTGGATGAAGAAATAAAAAAGATAAGTAAAACTTTATCGAATAATGGGTATCCTTTAGATGTGATTAGGTCAGTTATCAGTAAGAAAATATCTGATTTTTCTGAAACTAAACAGAGTATGGTTAATAAATGCCTAATTTATTTTCATTTGCCTTGGATGGGCACGGTAAGTGAAAATTCACCAAAATTAGCTCTGCAGTTGAGCATTGTTATTTCTTGTCTAGTGTACGTGTCTGCATTGACGTTTACTTGAAAGGATGTTCTATCGCCTCACCATATTAATAATGTTACTTACCAGTTTAAATGTAATTGTAGTGCTGACTACATAGGTAGAACTACCCTATGTTTAGATGCTAGAATGCATCAACATGTACCTTTTTTTTTAAGCATTTCACCCCTAGCAAGGCGGGAAGCCACTAGGATGCAAGGGGTTACAGAAAATTTAGAGCAAGACCAGATAGGAGTGATAGAAGAAAGGATGAGGGTAGTGGATAAATCAAGGCAACTGGAGATGTCGATTGACATTACACTTGAGTAGCTCCAGCAAAATTAGGAATGAAACATTCCAATTAAGGAATTTTCTCAATAAGACATATGATTCCACCATTGAGGAGCACTTCATTAAAAGCCCAAATTGTGCCATCTTGAGTTGTGGTTCGCTTTTTCAGTTGGGGGTGTTGGAAACAATTTATGTCCAGTCCAGTCAGCCCTCCCTCCGTAAAAAGAGGGAGTGTCCGTTAGGACTTGACATAATTTCAATCTAGATTGTATTACACCTTTAATATTGCATATTATTTGTGTTTTACATTTTGTATTACGATATATAATCCCTCGATCCCAGCTCTATTGAGTTGGGCCAAAAGTGGTTGGCTGTTTTTTTTTTTATAATTTATCATCATGAAAAGTAAAATTGGTTTTACTTTTTTCTTTTTTATTTCCACACACATACATACACATTATATATAAAAAAAAACAAAAGAAAAACTTTTCTTGACCAATACATTTCATCCCTTGTTGAACTTCATCAAGGTACATGTAGAGCTGTATAAAGAAAAGTAAACTATGGAGAACACTAAATAATGTAATTTATTTAATAATTGAAAATGAGTAAATGTTTTAATTTTAATGTAATTATTTTTTTTTCATGCAATTATTATTTTTGTATATTTATTTAAAATATTTAAAAGGTCTTCAGCAAACAGTTTTCTTTTAATTTTTAAAAACATTTATGCTATAGATGCTGACTTTGGGAAAAAAAAATCCAGTGTGTAAGTTAACATTTTGGCAAGAATTGATAATTGTATGCTCAAGATATATGATGTGCATTGAATATATAAAAATATATAAATATGCATACATTGGCAGTTTATTATGGAAAGTATAATTCTTAGCTAGAAAAAAAGTTTGTTAAATAGAAAAAGGATATCCGTTTAGTGAAAAATTGGGACTAAAATATGGCTTTACATAACTCACTCAAATCCTGTTAGGTCTATTGTGGAGTATGGAGCCACACCTCAACATATTAGGCATTGCTGCTGTGGTTCCTGTAGCAACTAGACCTTTGAGATGAAGTTGATAGCCCCAAGCCAAACAGGTTTTGAATTCTGAATTATCCTTCTAGATTGGTTGCCAAGCAAAGCTGAAAGGCACAGCTTGCTCTACTATTTAACCCATTGATGAATTCATACTTTTCTCAGACATATGTGTGAAAGTGAATGTTGACTGAAAATTTAACAACTCAACTGATTTCTCATTCCCAGCTACTAAACATTACACCACATTCACATCAACAACTTTACATAAAGCTATCTGTATAGCAAAATGATAGTGTGATTTCATACATATTTTATAGGAATAATGCATGAACATTAAATGACAGAATGTCTACCTACTTCACAGCATGTTCCTCATATTTTCTCCAAGGTGATTCTAGCCAACATTCATTTTCCTCAAATAGTAGAAGAAAGGAATAGTTAAAAAGATACAGGTCTCATCTCTAATGCTGATTTAAGTGTCATGGCATAAATTAAACAAAGAAAAAAAAAATGGATTTTAAATGCAAGTAAATATTTTCTCATAATGGCTAATTCAAGACATTTATTTATTTTCTCTGCACTAAGAATAATTCTCTCTTTTACAAATTCTCTTGGAAGTTTTGAGAGAAAGAATTTGAAGTTTTACAAAATTCTTATCAGATAATAGTGCATATAAGATTAAATTTCTAAGAGATATATTTACTTACCAGGCTTAGGAGGGATGTTTTCTAAATCAAGGTCAACCAACAAGGGCCAAGCTTTCTTCCGTAAGTGGTCATTGACCAGTCCTCCTGTGCTGATGGCCAGCTGTCGAATGGCAGAAACCTGAATGAGTTCTGAATTCAAAGCAGACTTGACCCGAATATATTTACCCTTCTTTGAGGGAGACACTGAAATAGAAAACATGAAAAGAAACTGAGAAAGTTTTGCAAAAATAAAAAATAAAATGGAAATATTGAAGTTAAAAAAAAAAAAAAAATATCCAAATTAGTAAGTATAAGCAGTAACCAATCTCACTTGGGGTAGAAAAAGTCAGAATCTAACCAGAGCTGATTATAACAGACCAATAAAAAATAAAGAAAAACAAAGTAGTGCCAGTTTTTTTTTTAAATTACTATCAATAATGGCTGGAAGAAGAAAAAAAAAAAAAAAAAGGAAAGAAGCAAACCCAATGAACTACATCATCAATTAATTGGTGCAACACTTATATATACTTAAGGATACACAAAATGTCCATATAATAGAACAATATAGAACCTTCTTGAGAAGGAAACTAAGGAATACTGTGTCAGGATTTATAAATTTTTCCCCCATAAAATTCAACTCCATTGTTTTGAAAAGAAATCAAAATCATTTAGTTGTTGCAACCTGTGCTAAAAGAAAAAACTAATTATTGGTAAATACTCAGAAAAGAGAAACACCAATATAAATGTCATATTTTCAAGAGACTAGCATTTTAGTTTAAAATTTTATTTTTAAAGTAATTTGCAAATCTTTGCATATTAATAATTTTACGAAACACTAAGCATAATATATTGTACAACAAGATAATTTGTTTCTTGAAAATTTCTATAGGAGACAAACTTTAGTTGGCATAAAAACAAATTATTCAAGTTATATAATAATGGATCAATCCAAAACAATAATTCAACATGGAGAAAGAGAGAGAAAGTTTATAGTCTCAAGAGGGAGGGGATAAAACTTTGAATCGCAATAAACTGATCCTTAGAGAATTAGTCAATATAATTCTACAGAGAGTAAGTGGAAAAGTTCATAATAATCTTCAATAAGAAATGAAGATACAGCAAAAACAGAAATTTGAATAGTAAATAATAAAATGATCTCCCAAGAATAACCATATAACAATATACTGTAATAGTGAAAGTGGATGGAGAGAAATAAAAACAGATTATTATATTTTGATGCAGATTAAAATATATATATATATATATATATATATATATATATATAAGAAGTGAGACAAGTTTTGTATTTTATTCATTATTGCCAACCTCTACTAATTATTACTGTACAATAGCTCAAAGTGTTGGAAATAAAATGAATTTATTATAACAGATGATTTAAATTAATGTCAATAATCAGGGATATGAATTGTACTAAAAGATGAATTTGTCTCAATTCATACTTGTCTTTTTGTATTTTTTAAAAAGTCAACATTCATTTCTGATTAACTTAAATTCAAAGTGTGTATATTTTTGCAAATATTCTCAGTGAATGCTTAAATTGGCTTTGATTCTATTTTTGTTTCTTTTATTCCTGATTACTCGACAGATCAATTATGATATTTTGACTTGTAAACACCAAAAAACAGGTTACCAGAAGCCCGAAACACTCATCATGGGATTAAATTCAGCAGCAATAGATTTCCTTTCATTCTGAGCAATGTATAAAGAAAAATCATCAATAAAAGAGCAGAGTAGCTTTTTAGTCAGGGCAGATTATATAGACAGTTTGTATTAAACTATTATTGCATATTTGCAGAAAAAGAAAAAGAAAATTAACATTGAAGATATGGAAGGTGTTTGGATTTTTTATTTTTTACTTAGGAATATTTGTAATAAGATTTTGAATAATTAAACATTAAGAACAAATGACAAATAAACATCACTAAGCTACTCCGTATTTAATAATTTTTTAACATCAGCACATTACATATATTATGCCTCCTGTTTTAAATATTTTCTTAATCTGCCGATTCAGTTTCAAGCGAAACTAAAGTTGCTTATTTAAATAAATATAGCTATTAAAAGTAATGCTTGTTAGTGGGCAATGTCCAGATTAGTTTAAAAATAATAATGTTAGCAACAGTGAACAAGAATCAACCTTTTCAATTTTATCTCTCTAGTACAAAATAGCTGTATTAACAGTTTGATTATGAATAGCAGATTCATTTTAGGTGTATTTATGAATTCAATGATTCAGAGATTAAAAGTTAATGACATTTTAGTTAATACTGAGATGCCTATTAATATTAAATTATAAATCATTTACATAATTTGGCTGGCTGTAAAATGGTCAAAGATAAAGAAAATATACAAAAGAGATTTTCAGGCAATTATATCAACCAGTTTAAAGTAACATTCTCTTAGACTTATAATTAACCCAAATGATAAAAAAAATATTGACATCAATTTAATATACAAAATTGATTCAGTAAATGTACAAGTTTAATAAATAAGCTTTACACTGAACTTAAGTTTAACTGCTTCAAAAAAAAAAAAAAAAAAATTTTTTTACATTTCATGTAAAACTGAAGTAACAAGTTTATTTTAGTCCAACTCCACAAACATGAAATATAGGAAATGCGAACTTCAATGTTGATAATAAAATGCAAAGGCATTTCTAAAAGCTTTTGTTAATTTAAATTATTGATATTTCTATCAAAACTGTGTCATAAGTACATTTTCATTTGAGGTATACATTTTAGTTAAATGGGAAAGATACTTCAGCTTGAGTTAGAAAAACACTTTATATAGTTTATGATTTACTAAAAAAATAAAAAATAAATTGATTGAACTAAATGGTAAGTAATATTACAAATTCTATCATTATGCAATGTGATGTGTTAAAACAAATATTTAAGTTAGTGCTAAAAATAATACACTGATACCAGTTTCCTGGCAAATACTTGTAAAAATATATATGACTAAAATCAAAACAGGAAATAGATGACCATTACCTTAAAAATAAATAAAATATTGAAGTCATTTTTTACAGAACCTCCCCACTAAAAAAAAAAAAAAAAAAAAAAAATATTAACAAGCTGTTTCTAATAAACTTTAAGTGATTTACATATTTGATTTTGTATGCTTTATTAAAATTGGTTTAATTTAAACACAAGTTTTTAAATTAACATTAGTTTCCAGCATATGAATACTTGACAGTAGTTTTTATATTATTAAAATTATTATTAGATTGTAACAGTAACTTGTCATTAAAATTTTAAGAACATAAAGACATTTTAAAACAGAATGAAGAATAAAAATTCAATATTAGATTGTTCAAAAAGGTGTTCACATTATATTCATCAAGTAATTATGACAGTTATGTCTCACTTGAAAAAAAAAAATTCCCTAGGGAGACAGTTGTCAACACCTCAATCACCCACCTCCAGGTTAAAATATACTTTTCTGCGATATTTTAAAGTAAGCAATAATTGTTTCAAAATCAGTTAATTTTCCCCAAAATGTTCAGAAAAATATATTTTTGAAAGATTTTTTAATAAATAGAATTACGTTGTGTTGACAGATTTGTCAATATGAACGATTTTAGCATCAATTTAAATTCGTTTTGAAATACAAATTGTTTTGCTTAAGTTATTGGAAATAAGTTTAATTAGCTTGAAAATAAAACTAAAATAAAAACTTCAAGAATAATTTTTCATTTTTTAAAATTCATTTAAAAAACCTTAGGTACCGCTTTTCTTTGGACTTTGGAAGTACCTAACTAATCACGGCGTATAAATCCAGTAATTTTAGGTGACATGACAAAAAAAAAAAAAAAAAAAAAAAAAAAAAAAAGTCATCTAAAACTTACTTTTGAAAAATAAAAGTATGCAAAAGCAAAAAAATAAAGATATTTTGAACTTTGTGTAATTAATTAGAAAAAAAAAATTAAATTCAGAAAAGATATTTAATTCCTAAAAGACGTGAAATTATCAAAATTTAAATTCCAAATCAAAGTGATCCAGTTTAACAATCTACAACACATAAAATAGCACTCGCTAAGCGGCTAAGGCTAATAATAGGCCATATGATATTTTTAGTAAAAAAAATCATGTAAATGTTCATACTGAAATTTAAGACATCAAGCAAATACTAACTAGAGGATTAATTTGCATAACAAAAACATTTTTCTAAAAAGGAGAGATATGAACAGTGCAGTAACACAAAACACTGCTGAACTTAAAAAAAAAAAAAAAAAAAAATCAGTAATTTCACTTTCGTTTCAATTGAAATAATTCATTTTCAACCATAACAGTTAAACAAACGGTTTTACGGTTTTCTTTTATTTAATTATTCAAAATTATTAATTTTGTGAAATTAAAGTAAAGATAAAAAAAAAAACCCACAGTAACGGTATTTTTAAAAATAAAATTCTAAAATTTTCTTTCGCTAACGACCTAATGCGTTTTTGTAGTGATTGGTTAGTAACCTACTGTCAGCCGCTGTGTAGTGTACATCGTGTATCGGTTACATAAAAAACTTTTTACTTTTCTGTTATTAAAGAAAATAAACTTTAGGAAATTCCTAAAAATTGTTACTGAATTACTACACACTGTAAACGAAATGTAAACTAATATTTTTTAGCTTTGTCAACAACAATCTAATCAATTGTGAATAATTCAACGGGGCATTACTTTCTTTGTTACTTTCTTTTTTTTTTTCTTTTTCCAATGAAAGTCTTTTTGGTCACATTTAAAAAAATAAAAAATCTGGTGATCAATTTATTTTTTGTTTACTAATGGACACATACACACAAAGAAATAAACAATATTTGAAAAATTAGCGTTAACATTTCTTTCTTTCACTTGAAGGAGAATTTTAATACCCACTTTTTACCAAATCTTTCACTCAAAAAGATAAGAGGCAAAAAAAAGATTCAATCACAAAAGTAAAACTCATATAGAAAAAAAAAAAAAAAAAACACAGAGCAAGTTATGCAACCCTGTAGAGAAACTGAAGCAATAAGTAAGTGTTTCTCATTACAGAAGAAACAGTCAGAATGTTCAGTGTTAAAAAAAGGTAAAAAATATGACGTCAATATTACTGTCAGTAAGGTAGGTCATGTTACCTGTGCAGGGAGTCGAATAGAACAGGCGTACTAAATTAAACGTGAGCTAATAACGAGGGCCATAAAAAGGTACACTACAGAGGATGAATATTTTTGAAAATGGACGATACTCAAGAAGTGTAAATAACTGAAACAGAGAAAAAAAAGACATTTTTTGTATATGGGAGAGATAAAGTTGAAGATTAATTAATTAAACGATGATGAGTAACTGAAAAATGTTTAGAAAGCAGTATCAGTACACCTAGAAATTTTTTTTTTTAAAAAAGCCTTAGTGAATAGTGGTACTGGTATTATTAAGATGTGTCAGTAATTTAGCACTTGTTGTGAAATGATTTAAAACAGGTTGTGAATTTACGTGTGCAACTTAATAAAGCAGATGTAATCTACAAACAAAGCAATAATGACTGTAAAAATATCGTTTGCAATATGATTTCACCTAGTGATAGTGTTTTTTGAAATAAGGTCTAACGTTGGTACGGCGAAAAAAAAAAAAACATTGCTAATAAATGTTTCGGTTTTTAGATCAATGGAGAAAGAGAGGGGGGAGAGTGACAATCAAATCTTTCACTTTAGACATGCGGCATGTAATTTCAGCAGAAAAAAAATGAAATTACACAAAAATACATTAATTAAAAAGCCGATGTTGAAATAATACCGTTGATTCTTCTTCGTCTCCTTCTGGGGGTTTGTGGAGATGGCATTGTTGTGTTGGCATCTGGGGGTTCCGTATATTCGTTCGTCGTCTGTCCAGCTGTAGTTGATCTCCGGCGAAGACTACCATGGTCCCTGGATTTCTGAGCAATAGGACCTTTAGCTTTGCCCTTTCTTGTACTCATATCAACATGTCAAACCGCTGGTCAGGGGAGCATTGGTCCTGCGGCCAGTGTCAGCCGTGCTCCACCCGCTGTGCATCGCTGCCACCTCCATGAAGCTGAGCCGCTTACGCTATTCACAATTCAAAAATCACTATGTCTCTACATCGAGATAATTTAAGGCGAAATAAAACTATTAACTAAAAAATATTTATAATCTATAAAAACAAAAATAATTTAAGCATATAAACATTTATTTTTTAAGATTTAAATTCTTAATAAACAACAATAAAATCATTTTAAGGCCGCTTACGTAATAGACAAATACGATTTTTCTCTTTCTCTGAGGAATTCGTTTTTAGGGTTAAAACATAAAGGCTTACAAAACACCCTTCTCAAATTCAAATTCAGGTGATTGATAGTTTGCATATACAAACATAAACTGAGATAAGATATTATCTCAGGAGACAAAATTATATACTGAAAGTATGAGAAATCATTTGAATTTAAATTTGAACATATTTTTTTAGCAACTAATAATTCTGTTCTTATTTTCTTCTAAGGAATTTTTCGTTTTTTTATTTATAGAATCAATGTACAAAACATTTTCTGCGTTTATTAATCATAAGGCATGAAAAGATAGGCAATGTCTTTGCACTGAAGAAGAGAACATTTGAAATAAAAAAATGTGGAATAGGAAATTAGTTTCTCTAGTCATCAAATACATATTCTAATTCTCTTGTGTGGTTAAATTGTGATTTGAATTAATGTGAATATTAAACAAATACTAAAATAAAAAATAGATCTTATTCTAAATAATATTTTTATCTCACTTTTGCATAAATATGTAGGTATCAGGATTGTAGTAAAGACAAATGTTTGGGAGGAGGCAAAAACATTTAGAATTTCGCCTTAAGTTATCAAACGCTGCCAATATGGTTAGTGACGTTAACATTTAAAATTTCCAGTACCCCCTTGCTTTGATAGTTTTTTTTCTTTCTTGTATTTCATTAAAATGAAACCTTGTAAAAAATACTATGATTGATAAAAAATTGGCAGTGGGGCTGTTATGGCCCTGAATATATGAGAGTGTATATATGTGTGCATTTAGTATTTTTTAGAATATTCTTTTTTGTAACTAAAAGAAAAAAACCTAAAAATATTGCAAAATCAGTTTGTAATACATATTGTGACATGTTAACATATGATTACTGGTGTCTCTATAATAGGGCACAAGAGTATAATAGGGTGTGCGCAAGGTCTCTATTCCCCCCACCCTCGTCAAATGATTTGAAATGTTTTCATCCTCTGCTGATAAAGCTGTATGCTTTGCATGTAAATTCTCAAGCTCTACTCTTGATTCATGTGGAGTATCCCTTCTTCATTTTCCACTTAGAACTGATTCTCTGTTGAGTGATATGCATATAACCCCTTCCATGGTTTCTGCTATCATCTCTAACCTGGGTCCCTACAAAGCATGTGGTTCCATTGGTATCCCTGTAATAGTCATTAAGAAATGTATTCCCGAACAGGCTCCTGTTATCTCTAAACTGTATAATAAATGCCTCCGTGCCTCCTGCTTTCCTGCCTGCTAGATGTTGTCTGTTCTAGTTTCTAAGAACTCTGATGAACTGTCTGAAATATCCAACTATTGACCTATTAGCCTTCTACCTCTTTTTAGGAAACTCCTAGAAGCCCTAATCAATGCTGAATTGATTCATCTCTCATCGCAGGGCCTTTTCTCAGACAAGCAGTGAGGCTTTCATTTTTCCGTGTCAACTGCTGATATACTAACGATAATTGTGGAAAGACTCTATCAGGCTCTAGATAAAAATGGTGTAGCATTGGACATCTTGAAAGCCTTTGACAGAGTCTGGCATTCAGGTCTTCTCCACAAGCTTAAAAGTTACTGTATCTCCAGCACATTTTTGAGCTGATCCAGTTGTTTCTATCAAATTGTGAGATGAAAGTTGTCCTGAACAGCCATTCATCTACATCCTTTTGTACTAATGCAGGTGTCCCCTAGGGCTTCATCCTTGCTTCTGGTTTTTAATCTTCATTAACAACCTTTCCAATGACATCAGCTCTCAACTTGGCATCTACGCTGACAACACAACTTACCTTGATAAATAAGGCTGATCAGACAAGGTCAAAATGGCAGCTGATGTACAAAACAATCTCAAGACTGTTGTTAACTGGGGCAAAAGATGGCTTGTCAATTTTAACGCCTCCAAAACTAAACTTCTCTCCATTAATTCTCTGAGGGACCCCTCTCCGCCTTCCATCAGCATGGCTGATGCTATCCTCCAGGAAAGTGACTCGTTGTACCTTCTCAGGCTAACATTCTCAGCTGACATGAAGAGGAAAGAATATATTGAATTCATTGCTAGATCAGCTGCTAAGAAAGTCACTTCACTGGGTCTGGTAAGACAATTTTTCTCTCCAGAATCTATTTTGCATATCTGTAAGTCTACCATTTGACCATGCTTAGAATATTTCTGCTACATATGGTCTGGTGCCCCTGCTATTTACTTGGAGCTCCTTCATAAGATCCAAAGAAGAATCAGCAATATTATTGGTCTTGATCTGGCAGCTTGACTTCAGTCACTTGCCTACCAGCATAAGGTTGTTTCTCTCTGCCTTTTTAAAAATACTTTCATGGTAATTATTTGGTTGTTTAGATAAGCTCTTCATTATGGTACCTAGACTGTAGGAATTTAAGTGAAATACTAGACTGACAGTGAGATCTCATCAATGTACAATTGAGCTAGCGAGATGCAGCCATAACTTCCATGCTGACAGTTTCTTTTTCATACTTCTCATTTATGGAACTCCCTTCTGAGTCCATGCTTCCCAGTCAACTTTAATATGCAAAGATTTAAATGCAATGTCAATCGTTATCTATTGTCCTCCTGATTGCTCTTTTCTTTTTCTACTCATTACTAATGTTTCTGTTTCTGATTCCTCTACACCCTGTAACCTTTGTGTGTTAGTGTCTATACTACCTTGCTTGGGGTGATACTGATAAAAAAAAAAGCATACTTTGTACTAATGATTTGATAATGATCACTTTTCCGGTTATAGTTTATTAATATATTTCTAAAAAGGATTCTGAAAGAAACTGAATAAAAAAATTCTCTGCACTTCATAGAAAACTTGTTTGAGAATATTTTTTGTCTTCAGCGATCTTGAAAAAACTTAAGTTCTGTATTTTTAAAAATATATATTTAAGTCATGGGAGAATATGATATATAAATTTCTATATATGAGAACAATGCAAGGGAAATTAATTTTCCACTTTGTTATTAATTTGCCTAATTTTTAAATCAGGTCATAAATACATTCATGACACTAAAGGTTTTTTTAGAACTGAGAACTAAACAGAAGATTAAATTTGTTTTGTTGTCCTCAATCTATAATAATACTATTGAGCATATAGGAATTAAATCCTTATATATTTTTCAACCAATAAAATTCCATCGGAAGGTTTGTTTAATAAACAATCATTACAACAGCAAACATTGCCAAAATATATGTGGGCATAGTTATAGACCAACCATGTGTTATTTTGGGACCATTTAGAAAATAACAATAATAACTCTTTTCATCACTCTTGCAAATTCAAGAAAAAGATTTTTGTGAGCCAGTGTGACATTATTTTCTAACTAATGAAAACCTTGTATTCAGAAAGTCACACCTCTATGTAAAATTAGATTTTGGATCTTCCTTACAGATATAAATATAGAAGCCTACTGTATCTCAGGGCTCAAAACTATTTCAGAGGCCAGTTCAATCTACACATGTATGCACACATACCCACATACATGCACACAATGGAAGAGATGAGCCAGCAATCACTGACTAAGGCTTTGTCTATGAACTCACACATTAGGCTGACCATCATGAAGTAAGTCTGTCCACACATTTTACACTACACTATGAAATCTTAATTACTTGATAAAACAAACTTCACTGCAAGGAAAATTGAACTTTTTATTGTTATTGTATATTTCTGAAAAGAATATATAAATATTATTTTAACTGATATTCTACTTCTACTTTTCCTTCAGAAAATAAACTTTTTTGTTTCATTTAAAAGTTGTGTTATTGTTGTTGTTAAATTTTTGGAATCTCAACACTCAGATAGCAACAAAAACCTGGGTAGACAGATTCCAACAAGTTGAGCCGTATCATTTGTCTAAAATCACTACTGCTGTTAATTTTCAAAATAAATCATAAAATGTATCTTTTTTTGACAAACTGGCTTGTAAAATTTTGATATAAATCATTATGTGGAAAGAGTCTGTCTCATTCCTGAAAATAAGTACAATACAAATTAAAAGAAAAAAAAAACACATTATGTATTTAAAATCAAAACAAAAAATATGTTTACACTTTATAGTAGGATAGTAGATGTAAAACATTTATGAGAGGATCAGATAAACAAATTTAACATCAGGAATTGTTAAAAGTTAACACCTGATTTAGCCACCCTCTCAACTTTTACCATCTGATTAAGTCCCTCCCGCCACACATCAACATTTGATTTAGCTCTTCACTTTTTATTTTGTGATACCATGCTTGAAATAGTTTTATGCTTTTTAATATAAATAATATTAATTTTTCTTATATTTAGAAAAAAATTTCTTAAGAAGTGATTCCATTTCCCAGAAACCCAAACTGCTTTTGTATTACAAATGCTGTAATTGTTTGAAATAAAATTGTTTTAGCTTTTTGCTTTATTAAGCATGACACACAAGAACAGAACTTACCAAACAACTAAATCTGTATATTTGAAACATCATTTTTTTGTAATGTTTTAACATTCAGAGCAAATTAGACAGCTATTACACTTATTTTTTAAATTATGCCGTATTCATAATATTCTTTATTTTCTTCCTGATATTGCTTGAATTTATTTATGTGTGTACGCACACACACACACACACACACACACACACACACACACACACACACACACACACAACACACACAACACACACAAATAGGTGCCTCACCCCACA